GGATTGCTCGAATGTGAATTTAATGGGAGGGAGAAAGTTATTGATGTGGTTTTTAAAAATGTTTAAATTGTCTTCATCATTGGTCCAAATGAAGAACACATCATCAATGAATCGTTTCCAACAAAGGGGTCGGGTATCAGATGATTCCAATAGTCTTCCCTCCAAGTTATCCATAAAGATATTGGCATATGAGGGCGCTACTGGAGTGCCCATTGCCGTTCCCTTAATTTGAAGATAATGAGTATCATTAAATATAATGTCTGTCTCTTATACACATCTAGATGTGTATAAGAGACAGTATATATATACATATATATATACAAAAAAATTAGTTCTTTAATACAAAGTTATAAAGGCAATTCGTGAAACTTACTGAATTGAAACGTACATTTATCTTGATTTAACTTAGGGGTGTTACCCTCTTGGTCTCTGCTCTGGTATTGTGGAATGAAATCGTTCGCTTATTGCTGACGTGGCGATAGAATTTCGTAAATCCGTTAATTAGTATATAATTAATTATGTAACCGAAAAGACAGAAGTTTCAGAATAATAATTAAATGGACTAACTTTGTATAGGGGAGATGCTATTCATCAACATTGATACCGTTCGGGTAAAGGGTTTGTAATTTTTTAATCCTTGGAAAACGATTTTCTTCTCTTGATAATTGATTCTTGGTTATTAATGATACGCTCAATACCTATAATTGATATATTTTCTATTGAATGATTAGCTTGATTAAAATGAAGGCCAACTGGTAAATTTTTACTTGATGGGAAATTATGATGTTTAATGTCGGACTTATGATTTGTGAATCTAGTGTAAAGGGATGTAGTGGTTTTCCCCACGTATTGTTTTCCGCATTTTTGGCATGTGATTAAATAAATTAACCAATCCATTTTGTCATGAATGAGTGTTGTGATTGGGAAGGATTTTCATGTTACATTACTGGTAAATTTCTTAGTTGCTTTTATATCCTTTAGATTTTTTGCCCTTCTAAAAGCAACAATCGGAGGCTCCGAAAATAGTCTTTTCATATCCTCTGATTTGTGTAGGGTCGGCATATGTTTCTTAATTATGTGAGACACATTAGAGAGTCTTGGATCATAAGTGAGAACAAGGGGAACCCTGTTCATTTGTTTCCTTTTATTATATTTAAGGAGGTCACGTCTGGTCTTTTACCTTTATTTATAGATTCTATTACCATATTCTTTTTGTAATTTCTGTTAATTAAGTGTTCCTGAAGGTCTGATAAGTGTTTATTAGCATCAGTTTCCTCATTGCAAATGCGACGGATTCTAAGTGTTTGACTATATCCTATGCTTGAAAAAGTATGTTTAGGGTGACACGAATTTGGTAGCAAGTAAAGGTGAGCATCAGTTGGTTTTGTGTATAATTGAGTTTTAAGTTTACCTGTTTTCATTTCGACTAGGACATCGAGAAATGGAACTTTGGATTTGGATTGCTCGAATGTGAATTTAATGGTAGGGTGAAAGTTATTGATGTGGTTTTTAAAAATGTTTAAATTGTCTTCATCATTGGTCCAAATGAAGAACACATCATCAATGAATCGTTTCCAACAAAGGGGTCGGGTATCAGATGATTCCAATAGTCTTCCCTCCAAGTTATCCATAAAGATATTGGCATATGAGGGCGCTACTGGAGTGCCCATTGCCGTTCCCTTAATTTGAAGATAATGAGTATCATTAAATATAATGTTGTTCAATTTAAGGACTAACTCTAGAAGTATAATTAAGTGATCTGTTGGTGGGATGAGATGTGTTCGTTTATTAAGAGCTTCTTTACATGCTTGTAAACCATCATTATGCCTTATGTTTGTATATAATGAAGAGACATCAGCCGAAATTAATTGTGTGTTATTAGGGAACGGGCCTATGTTATTAAGCTCTTCTGTGAAATTAAGGAAATCTGTGGTATCTTTCAAATATGATGGAAGTTGAGAGACCAAAGGGCGTAAGTGAGTGTCAACATATTTAGAGATCTCGACTGTTGGACAATTTGTGCCCGAAATGACAGGGCGGCCTGGGTTTCCCATTTTATGAATTTTAGGGAGAAAATACATACGTGGAGTAACAGAGTTTCTTTTCATTAATTGTGGTTTGATTTCATTTTCAATATCAGTTTCACGAATTGCCTCTTCAATCATTGCTAAGTACCTTATACGTGATATAATCTGATAATTGGCGTTCACCCTCCCGAATATAGTCTAAGGTATTCATAACTACAATGGCACCCCCGTATCCGCTGGTTTAATGATCAAATTTGAATTATTTTTCAATTGTCTAAGGGCCAGTCTTTCACACTTTGAAAGATTGTCTTTGCCTCGAGGGCGATTTATTGCTTTCTCCTCATAGAAGACCGATAAGGATGGAGTACAGTATTTGGGAGTCCAAGTGCTTTTTTTGGAAAATGGTTTACGGGTAAGTTTGGTTGGTTCATCATTAGATGATTTATTTTTAGAGGAAAAATGATCTTTAAGTTTCATCCTCCAAAAAAAATCCTGTAAATCAGAATGTAGTCGAAGAGAGTCTATTTCAGGTGGGTTGGGGCAAATTCCTAGACCCTTAGACAATAGGCTCAATTCATTTTCCGATAACGGATGGTCCGATAGGTTAACTACTTCTCTACCATTATTTTCATTAGATTGTGAATCTGTTGGGCAAGGCAATGTGCGTGCAGTTATAGAATTATCTAATGAATAAAGTTTCTTAGACAGCTTATTGTATCTCCGTTGCTTATAACGTCTAGATTTAGGCTTGGATTTATATTGCTGTGTTCGCTGTTTATCACTTAGAATAGTATTAGAGTTAATATTAATTTGATTTATTGTTACATCTCTATTAAACTTGTTACATTTCCTTAACGATGAAGTCGTTCGGATTCTTACGTCCTCATTGCGAAGTTTATTCAAAATACTGTGGTAAGCATTAGGACCAGTTGTTTTCCATAATTTGGTTTTTATAATATCAATATCAGCTTCAAAACATTTTAATTCTTGCTTTGCAACCTTTAACGCTATATCACGTAAGTTGCATGATGCTTGTTCAAAGGTTTTAAGCCATTTCTGTTCAAGCTTAACACTCCTATTGTTCAGAGACATGTCTTTTTTAATCTTTAGGCCTTTAGGTACCATCTTATTTGTCTTGTACTGTTCTAAGTGATGTACATGTAGGATATATTTCGTTCTGCAATTGAACTTACTTCGCAGTTGAGACTTGATTTGGCCGATGTTGTTGCAACAATTGACCGTGTTGTCATCCATTTCAAACGCGATCTTCTTAGTCGTAGACAAGAGATACAAGATTGCAATAAGTAAAATATCATATAGCGAAAGAAATTGATTGCTTTCAGAGCCTGTTGAAACGTGCCTCTTGGTATGTATAAATGAAAGAAATAGTCGGGGGCTTGGATGGAACAAAACGTCTTTAATTACGGAATCAAGCTTTCGAGCTTACGCTCTTCATCAGGATCTAAACAAAAACATCCATAAAACAGTACAAAATCTTAAAATATAAAAACTACTAATTAAAATAATTTGCATTAAAATTACCTACGATTAAAAATTCATCAAAATGAATATACCATGCATTCTCTGATTTGGTTTATCAAAATATATCCTATATATATACATATATATACACAAAAATTAGTCCATTTAATTATTATTCTGAAACTTCTGTCTTTTCGGTTACATAATTAATTATATGCTAATTAACGGATTTACGAAATTCTATCGCCACGTCAGAAATAAGCGAACGATTTCATTCCACAATACCAGAGCAGAGACCAAGAGGGAACACCCCTAAGTCAAATCAAGATAAATGCACGTTTCAATTAAGTTTCACGAATTGCCTTTATAAATTTGTATTAAAGAACTAATTTTTGTGTGTGTATATATATATATATAGGATATATACTGTCTCTTATACACATCTAGATGTGTATAAGAGACAGTCTTTACTATCTCTGATATATTGTTCTTCGCAGCATCACTTAAGAGAAAAAGAAGGACTAATGTGTGAATTCTGAATGAATCATCATAAAACATTTCGCATGTAGAAAGCCTGTCTCTTATACACATCTAGATGTGTATAAGAGACAGAAGTTGACTTGCGGAACACAAATTTATTAAGCTATAACAAAATCAAACGGATATTTCGATAGCTCCTGCTATCTTCATCAACGTTAAAGTGAGAAAACTTGGGAGATCTTACATATACATAAAGAATAATAAACCAATCAGAATCAAGTTATCAATACAATTAGTTGATTGGACCACAAAATATAAGTTCAGTGACAAGTTAATGGATTAATGAGTCCAATTTACCATTCTTAGACGTATCCATAAATTTACATAATGGTAACATCACCACATCAGTAAAACCCACAGACAACAATCGATACCTCGACTACAGAAGCTCACACCCTATGAGTCTTAAACGATCGCTCATCTACAGTCAATGCCTGCGTCTCAAACGAATCTGCTCATGTCCATCCGACTATAACAAACACATATCTCTTCTCACTGGCAAGTTTATGTCAAGTAACTACCCATTAAATGTAATAAAAACCCAGATTAAAAAAGCCTCACGTAAATCTCGCACTGATCTTCTCACGTATATACCTAAATTTAACAATGATCGGCTACCTATGGTATTTGACTTTAGCCCCAGCATCCTGCAACTGTCTAAGAGAATTAAAAGAGACTTCCTCTCCCTCCAAGAAGACCCATCGATTAAAGAATTTTCAAGAAGACCCATCGATTAAAGAATTATTTTTACAGCCCCCCTCTACTAGCACGTAGGCAACCCCCTAATTTAAAGTCCACTTTAACCTCATCTAAAGTCCCCTCCACTAAACTGATACATGGCAACACACAATGTAACAGCTCTAGATGTCAATTATGCAACATCATCAATACTTACAGCTCATTTACTCCACCAGGAACACAAATAACAATCCGGCCACCAGTACTGAATTGTAACTCGCCCAATATTATATACCTCATATACTGCAACAAACGCAACGAGGGAAACTGTGTTGGCGAAACTGGTCTAACTTTCAGATCTAGAATGAACAACCACAAATCATCTATAAGACACAAACTCAACTGCCCAGTAAGTGTACATTTTAATTCACCTAATCACACCATCAATGACTTTTGGGCTATAATAATAGGTTGCAATTTTAAATCAACACAAGAACGACGTAACGCAGAAATGAAATGGATAATCCGGTTAAAAACTCACATTAAGGGTCTAAATAAGGACTTAGGCTCTACATGTGATTATGCCTTCATACGCAATATTTCTCTATGAATACAGTATCTAACTATATATGCTATATATTATTTCTACTTATGTACATTTTTTTATATTCATTGATTTCTAAACTGTATTTTATTTGTCATCATGATATCATGCGTTATATTATTTAAATTCATACATATACCGTATATTTCTGCTATTTATTTTCTATTCCACGTTTGTTTTAATTATATAGGACCTTATTAACCTTACTATGTTTTATTTCCTGTA